ACTAAGACACTCTCATTCTCTCACAAAAACATAGAGGCACTTTCCAGAAGCTCTGGGACCTGTGGTATCACCGTGCTTAATGGCTAATAGAATGTGTGCTTGGTTTTCAAAATTCTGTTTCAGTATTTAATGTGGCAAATATTGATAGATATAATCCACATTGTAAAGAAATCTCCTTGGGGCCCTCAACAGTTGGGCCTAACAATCCTAAGACCAAAAAGTTTGAGAACCCTTGCATTAAACTACTATGTCTATTTTTGCATAGGACTTAAATTCTCCAAAATAAAAAGTTTTTTTGTAAGGGGGTAGCATGGATTGATGAGTGAACTGGGAAAGAGCAAACATCAGGCTGACCATAGCAATCTCTTCTCAACCTACCTCTGGAAGGCATGTGCATACACAGACCCCTCTGCAAACGCCAGGGACAACTAAAGTTTAAGTTCACATTCCCTCCCCTTTAACAACACTTCAAAAGAGATAAATGCCAATTTTAATGTTTGGAATTACAGTTGACTGCTGAACAATGCGGGGGTTTGAAGCCCTGACCCCTGCCCAGTGGAAAATTGGCATAAAAATTGTGACTTCTAAAAATTTAGTAACGAATAGCCTACTACTACCCGGAAGCCTTACCAAAACATAAACAGTTGATTAGCACATTTTTTGTATATGTATTATACACTGTTTTCTTATAAAGATAGAGAAAACATTAAGAAAATCATAAGGAAACACATTTATAGTATTGTACTTATCAAAAAACAAAAAAAACCCCACCCCATGTATAAGGAGACTCGTGTAGTTCAAACCTGTGTTGTTCAAGATTCAACTGTACTTCATTTTTATTTAAGTTAAAAAAAAAAGAAATTGTCTCCTTATCTAAGACCGTCCCAGGCTTCATCTGCGTCCCCTAGTGCCCGCGACAGCCTTGTGGGGAAACTGTGCTACTCTTACTTGTCCTTTTCCTTCACTTGGGCTAATCAAATTCAAGAAATAGCACAAACTGTTCTACTGCTCTAGAACTTGCTGTTGTAAATACTGCCTGCAACAGGTGCTCCGGTGGCTGCCACCAAGGAGCCTTGTCTCAGAGCCACCATGGTGTCTGCTCCCTCACTGGGAATCTGCCTGCACTCCGCTTCCTTGTCAGCTTCCAGCTTTCCAGTTGTCCCCATCGACCTTGGCATCTGCCTTCCCTGTCCTCCACGTTCAGCTCCTACTCTACATGCCAGCTGCAGGGCTGGTGGCTGAAACCCAAAGCAGTGCTCTCAACCTACACAGACCTCAAAGCCACCTGGAGGCTCCAAAGGGCCCCCCAGATTCTGAGTCCAGTAGCTCTGCACTTCTAACAAGTCCCTGGTGCTGTGCTGCCGGCCCACAGACCTCCCTCTGGGAACCACTGCTGCGGAGGTCCTCCTGTGACCCGAGGGCCCGCACTGCCCCTGGCTCTGCCACCTCCCCCGCTGTGAACCATGGCAGCTTGCGGACCAGCTTCTTGGTAAAACGGAGACTGTGGCAGAAGACTTCACTAGGTGAACATAAAAAGGAAAAGGTATACGGAGGAAGAACTTGGGTCAGCTGGTAAAGGAGAGGGTCAGCAGCCTTCACCAGATTCAGTGACGCAACAGAAAGCAGATTCCCCGCCGGAAGTTGCCTCCTTCAACCATGTAGTCCTATTTCCACCATTTTCCTCAGAGGCTTAAAAACTGGCCGTCAGTCCGAACACATCCCCTATGTTCACAACTGCCTGACGTGCAGGCCATTCTACTGCTGGCTTCTTTAAGAGCGCCCACTTTCAAGACGGGCAGAGATCTTCATCTCTGGGTTCCAGATACCAAACCTCCCTTTTCCAAATCTGAGGGCAGGAAGAAAGACTGGAGGAGGAGAGGAACGTGCCACATCATCCCGCTTCACTGCGCTGCTTGCTTAGAAGGAAAAGCTCCCCACCCCCGCTAACAGGAAGCATTCAAAGCACTTAAGCTCACTTACCTTGGTCATGCCTCCTGCCTGCGCCGTGTTCAGTCCGGCATGACTGGCCATTTGTGGCGAAACCTGTGTTAACGTCTCGGCCAGCACGCTGCTCGTGGCCCCCTGCATGGCCGGAGCAGGGTACGGCATCCCAGCTCCCCTTCCTCTGCCAGCGGCCCCAAGAGAACCATTCATGACTTGCGCCTGTCCTTGCTGGGCCTGGTTCATTAAACTATGGCCAGAGTTACTATTGAGGAGGCCTGGGTGGGTCTGGTTAAAGTTAGCATTCATGCAGATCCCAGGTCCCGTCTGCGATGTGGCAGGGCTGCTGGTCACCAGCCCCACCTGCTTTTGTGCTTGCGGATTCAGTGCTTGCGAAGCAGGGGGAGTGGGCCCAGAGGTGCTGGCTGCCTGTTTGGGCAGGCTAGGGGCTGAAGAATCTCCCTGGTTCAGAGGGCTCTTGCCCATGGCACCCAAGCTGGCCATGTTTGCACTGTTCGGCTGTCCCTGAGCCTGGCCGCCAAGGCCTTGCTGCACGGGGCTGCTGGCGCTAACATTTCCTATTCCTGGGTTGATACTAGAGCCGCTGCCTCCACGCAGAAGCTCCGACAGTTGTTTATGTTTGGAAGCAGCATCTGGAACGAGGTTCCCACTGTTTAAAAGGCTTAATTCTCCTCCATTGGGGATCAGCTCATCAGGAAGATCATTTTCCAAGTCAAACAATGATCCAAAATCTAGAAATTAAACAGAAATGGAAATGAGAAACTAAGCAACCACAACAGCTTTCCAACTGTCATATATTACTATGATCTTAACCTAAAGGAGCACTTCACACAGAATGCTGGCATCTTTTTTTAAGTGGTTTTTTTTTTTAATTTTAATTTTTTTTAAAAGATGTTATTTATTTGAGAGAGAGAGAGAGAGAGAGAGAGAGAGCACAAGCAGGGGGAGCTACAGGGGGAGAGGGAGAAGTAGGCTCCCCGCTGAACAGGGAGTCCGATGCGGGGCTCGATCCCAGGACCCTGAGATCATGACCTGAGCCGAAGGCAGACGCTTAACCGACTGAGCCACCCAGGACCCCCAGAACGCTAGCACATCTTAAGGGTAATGTCAAAATGACTTGAAACTTCATTTGGGAAAATAAAACAGGGAAGCATATTTTTCAAATTCTGAAGAAGGAAAAGTTAAACAGAGATGAGAGGAGGGTCAGCCCCACTAGATGTTACCAGATATTCTAAAACAATAATTAAATCGTGTGGCTTGAGGAGAAATGTAGATATATAAACTAAAGGAAATCAACGGGGAATTAAACCTTCACTGAATTTAAGTTAAAATGCTTTTAAGAATACATGTGTGCGAAAAAGTAACTGGGAATCAGGTTAAATGAACAGGAATTTGGGGAAATTAAGTAAAGCCTAACCTTAAGTGATTACATATTTTTTAAAAGGTAAATTATTAAAAAAAAAAAAAACCCACCCCAGCCTAAACAGAAAATGAGAGTTCTCCAAATGTTGAAGCTGCAGAAAATAAAGATGTATAAAGAAACTAAAAATAGTTAAAAGTAAAAGAAAATAACTTAACAGCTACTTGTCTCACGTGAAAGGGGCTAATGTCAGCCCTGCAGAAGGACAGGCAGCACACTGACTCCCGAGTATAAACACAAAGGAGGCCAGCAGGTAAGTATCAAAAAGGAAGATAAAAGTCAAGGGAAGAGATCATCCTTCCCAGTAATCAGTGACAAGTAAAGCAACTTCTTCCTCCTGGTCCCTCTCAAAGTACCATTTCTCTAACATGTGGCCTAAGTGTCATCTCTAGTCCCTCACCGACCGCATTTTCTTCAACCCACAACCACCTGGCCACACGTGCATGCACAAAGGACAAGATCAGCAGAACTACGACAAGAGTGGCATCATGTGTGATATCGAAACAGGGGCAAACAATACACGGAGGCAGGTCAGCCTAGTGGTTAGTCTCTAGACCCAGACTGCCTGCAACTGAGCCCAGCTCTGCCTCCAGCTCCCTACTTCTTAGCTCTAAGTTACCTAGACTTTCTGTGCCTCGGGGTCCTCCATCTGGCCACCACACCTCATAGGGTTTCGTGGGGACTGAATGAATTAATAAATGTAAAGCATTTACAACAGTGCATGTGGGTGGTTAAGTGCACCGTCGTTATCAGCTGTTATTATTATTGTTATCCAGTAACAGAAGGTTTGATAAATTACTATATAATATTAGAAAACATTACACATCTTTGGCACCTGGGTGGCTCAGTTAGTTGAGCGTCCAACTCTTGATTTTGGCTCAGGTCATGATCTCAGGGTTGCGAGATCAAGCCCCATGTCAGGCTCCGTGCTCAGCATGGAGTCTGCTTAAGACTCTTTATCCCTCTCCCTCTGCCCCTCCCCCCATTCACTATCTAAAATAAACAAAATCTTTTAAAAATTACACCTCTACTAAAATAATTATGAAGACTGAAAAATGTAGGAAAATGTGTTCGTGATGTAAAAACATGCAAATGGCAATGCATGCAAAACAGCACATCAAATAAGATTAGAACTGAAGTATGTGCATGTGCGCACTGGCTGGTAAGTAACACACCAAAAATAAAGAGTCGTACTGGTTGAAGTGGTGGGGTGATGAGTGCATGTGGCTTTTTGTTGTTGTTTCAAACAGAGCCACCCGCCCCCCCCCCCCCCCCACTTTGAGAAAACTGGACTGTCTTCTCCGCGGTGTCAGATCCTAAGACTGCCTGCCCCACAACCCCCTCAGGTGGCTGCTCTGGGGTTCCTCTAAGAAACAGCAACACCTTCCCAGCCGCAGAAGCAGGACTGATTGGAGAAGCCACCCCCCCCATAAGCACCTTCTCCTTGCAGGTGACACAATCCCAGCTAAGGGAGTTGAAGGCAAGTTGGCCACGACAGTGTGGAAAAGGTTTTCCTTCCTACTGGGAAGGAATGCTCAGGAAGAAATCTCCCTTTCCGTCACCACATTTCATTGTGGAGCTACGGCAGCCATCCTCAGACAGGAGAGGAGGCACCTCGCACACACCAAGGATGACTGCAGCAAAAGCTAACGCTGGGGTCGTGAAGCCATCTCTGAGCTCAGTTATCCAACCCGGGAGCCTCCCTACCTTCAGATTTCTCATTATGGGAGAAAATGCATTTCCTGTCATTTAAGCCATTCTAGCCAAAGTTTAATGTCACCCGATGAAGTTCAAACTTCCTTTGTAAGGCATACAAGGCCATCAGAATGTGGACCCTGACCACTTCTCAGCCCTTCTTTCCCCTGGCACTTTTTTTTTTTTTTTAAAGATTTTATTTATTTGACAGAGAGCGAGCAAGAGCAGGAACACAAGCAAGGGGAGTGGGAGAGGGAGAAGCAGGCTTCCTGCGGAGCAGGGAGCCTGATGTGGGGCTCAATCCCAGGACCCTGGGATCATGACCTGGGCCGAAGGCAGACGCCTAACGACTGAGCCACGCAGGCACCCCTCCCCTGGCACCTTCTGATGCACCCTACCTTCCAGCCACAAGAGTGAGCGGTCACGTGCAACAGAAATCCTTCTCCTGGATGTTCTCTGTCTAGAAAACCATGCCCCTACCTCTCACTCAGATTAAACGCAGTGACTACGAAGACTGTCTTCGGGCTACCCCAGAACAGACCAGTCCCTGTTTTCAGCCTCCAAAGTTCTCTGTACATATATGCCTAGTAAACCACCTCTAACTAACATATACTTATTTCATCCTACCCAACTATAAGGACTTAGGAATTACTTGCAACTGTACACACACACACATACACACACACACAAAGATTTTTATAAAACCTGTGAGAGTAAGTTGCAGACAGCATGAGTCTTTCCTCCCAAGTACTTGACCATGCATCTCCTAAGAACACCCTTGTACAAAATCACAGCACATTTATCAAATTTGGTAAATTTAACACTGATACAATATTCAAATTTAGCCAGTTGTCTCAATATTGCCCTTTATTACATTTATTTTCCTGGTCTAAAATCCAGTTCAGGACCCCAGTGCACCTAGCTGTCATGTCTCGGTCTTTTCCTTTTGTCTAGAAAGGTTCCTCAGACTTGGTCTTTCCTAACTGTGACATTTTTGAAGAGGACAGGCCAGTTGTTTTGTAGAATATCCCTCAATTTGGGGTTGCTTCCTCCTGATTACAGGACACGTAATTATGAAGAGACACACAACTCCTGGATACGGCAGACAGCTGAGACACAGCCACGGATCAGGGTTTTTGCTGCCAACTACCCAGCTTCTGCATCTCAACGTGGTTTTGTGGGGTCCATTCCATAGCTTCTATGGCACTGTGCTGTCCTGAATGTCGAGATCCACTAAGGTCTCCAGATAAAAAGAACAAATTGCAGGCGGGGGCGGGAAGAACACACGAAATAAAGTAAAAAAACCAACTCTCCAACATAACTGATGTTTCTGTTGCCTTCCAGACTCTGTCCACACACACGCACATTTTTACTCAGTATCCTTTCTTTCTTTTTAAAAAGGTTTTAAGTCATCTCTACAACCAACATGGGGCTCGAACTCATGACCCCAAGATCAAGAGTCACACGCTCTACCAGCTGAGCCAGCCAGGCACCCCTACTCAGTATTCTTATAACAAAACAAAACCCCGGTGTGTGCATTTAATTAATGCAATGCTCCTTAATCTATGAACATGAAAATGAAACTTCATCTAAACTAGCAACAAGAGCCATTAAGACAGAGACCGAGTTTCCTTTCTATTTGCCCGGGAGAGGATGAAGAGCCGGTGTCAAGCACTGTAAATCGTTAGAAGGAAATGAACTCCAAATACTTAGTTTGGAACAACCTGCCGAAGCCCCAATTGGCTCTTCCCAGTGTCTCGAAGCACTCTCCCGAAGAGAGGGCGACTGGGCCAGGACAAGAGCAGGTAAACCCAAATGAACAGTTACACAGTGTCAGAGACCAGGTCCCCGATTCCAGTGTGGGAACTGGAACTGAGGAAGGAAAAGGCACACCTGCAAGTGGAACACAGGCACTCAAATCCTGGCTCAATCAGCCAGCCCCACGTCCCTGAACAAACTGTTCAACCTCTGGATCATACTTCCCCCAACCGCGAAACAGGGATAAGAGCCCAGCTACACGATGAAAGCTGGAACAGGCTATCATACTCTAGCACACAAACTATAAAATTTCTTACCTTTAAAAATCCACCCACCATTCCACCACTCTCAAATTTACCCGTGTGGTTTTTCTTAGTGGTTTACTGGAGCTCCACCCCACACGCACATGCGACTCTGACTGCTGTCATGGGTGGTATGTCTTGGGCTCAGTTTGGTTTGTGCTGCTCCACCACACTTTGGCCACCTCGATCACTTTTCTCACCCTGTTTCAGTCCAAACACATCTCACAGCTGTTTGGTTGTGGAAAGAAGGGACTAATTCTGCTTACGTCCTTACCTATCAGTCCAACCACATGTGCACGCGTCCACAAGCAAATCCACAGGGAGCGTCTTTGTAAGACAAGGTGGGCTGGGCAGGGTGTGCAGAGGGCCATCCCCGCTCACAGTGCCGCCCCTCTTCTCCCTGTGACTGTCTCCACGCACATATTCTCTGGCTCACAAAACGGACAAAGGAAAATGAAGAAGGAAAGCCAGGATATTGCAACATACAGAGTGATGCTTTCTACACACCAAAGTGTCCCAACACACAGGTTAGGCAATACCAATCTGAATCACCACAAGTTCTGAAGATTCAAGATTGAGCATCACCACTTCCAATCCCAGGTAGTTTCCCTTTCCTCCACCAAGTCACCAGCGGCCCCAGGAGGGAGCAGAGCTGAGGCTGAACAAGATTCGTGGGACCCAGCTTTCTAGGGGCTCAGCCTTGGCAGGAGACATCCCAATCACACAGCACACACAGCCTGTCATGCTTCCGCAGCCACCAGGAATTTTCTCTCTTTTGGGGCTCTTTGGCCGCCAACCCAGAGTCCGTCCCTTTCATTAAGCGGAGGTGGAAAAAAAGTAGCTACCGGTTTCCCAGTCTCTGTCACACTCCTACAAGGCTGGGGCACCCACGGCACAGAAGGTCTTCATCAAGCACGATCACAAGGGATCACTTCTGGACTGCTTAGAGAAATCTCGCTCCAGGAAACAATCCCCTCTCAACACCGAAAGACAAGGCATCCTACACATGTTCTAAGATCCATTCTTAGCCATCGTTATCAGAAGTCCATATTTCACCTTAAACAAGGGATGAATTACTATCAGGTACTCTGAAAAAAGCTCTCCATTTTACAAATCGAATAGCAGGTAAGTGGCTGAGTCCATCTGCCCGGCCTGTAACATATGAAAGAGTCTGTTCAAATGCAGCTAAGCAAGTCATCCCTAAAACACATCTTTCCTTAGGTTTTCTAACATCTCCTCTTTCTCTCATATTACTTTACTTTTTTTCTTTGAATGACAACTGAGGCCCTAAATTCTCTGACTGGCACAGAACTGATTTTTCTGTCCCAATGTGTACAAACTAGTTTATCAAATCTTGTATTGGCCAGAAGTAGGAACTCTTCTACACTTTGCAGACATAATGAGTGAGACTTAAAATCATGTATCAACTCTCAGTTATAACTCACAAGGCTGTAAGGACCATGAAAGAGGGATTGGGCTCTCCACGAAGATCTCCACCCTGAAGAGGTGAATGAATTCTGGAGAAGAGTGCCAAAGTTATACGATACAAAATAACAATTTTAACACTTAACTTGTTTAGCTGAAAATATAAACGCTTTATTAAACATTTTAAGATACATTTATCTTAACATTTATTACTACTATCGTAAAACAGAAACAAAGAGAACAAAGTTTAATAATGAATTCTCTTAAAATGCTTCCCTGTTCTACTCATCCTTCTCTTTACCCACCCACCCCTTTCCTGCAGCCTCTTTATCCTGCAGGGGACCAGTCAGGCTACTTCTCTCTCTGGATACACCTCGGCATCCAGGCCCCTCCATCCTGTGGCTGGTGTGAAGATTAAATGGCCTAACACAGAATAAGAGATATCAGCCTGAGAAACAAACCTGAGAGTAAGAGTTCAGGTGCTAGGTCCTGTTCACGTTTCTCTACTCCTGAGCATGAAACCCCCCTCCCACAGATGCCTCCTCTCCCCCACCCACGCCCGTTTCTCACGGCAGCCCTCATTCTCTGTGTAAAAGTTGTTGTTTTTCCTTCCCTATTTTTTTTACATGACCTCTGGCATTACTCGTACTATAACTCTGACTATTCAAATGCTTCTCTTAAATCTTAGAAAAGCTAAGCACTTTTATTCATTAACCCTGGAAATTTTTACAAAAAGAATTTTTTTTTTAAAGATTTTATTTATTTATTTGAGAGAGAGAATGAGAGAGAGAGAGAGCACATGAGAAGGGGGAGGGTCAGAGGGAGAAGCAGACTCCCTACTGAGCAGGGAGTCCAATGCGGGACTCGATCCTGGGACTCCAGGATCATGACCTGAGCCGAAGGCAGTCGCTTAACCAACTGAGCCACCCAGGCGCCCTACAAAAAGAATTTTTAATTCCTAAGTAAAAACTGGATACAAAAATTAATCCAAAAAGGGCAATGTATTCTGAAAAAGCTCACATCTAAAGAAGAGGAATCCATAGAATGGTAAACACTTTCATAGGGTTCTAATTCTTAGATGATCTGGAGACCATTTGAGACCTCCATGGTACATTTATCAATACATTACCAATGAGACACTCACAACACAGGAACCACAGCCTGGTCTTGATTCAAGCCCCTCTCTGTCACTCCGACTACACCTCCTGACGTGTTTGCTCAGCTCTAAAACGGAAATGAAAATAGTAGCTGCCTCTAGGCTCACTGAGGAAAAAATGAAATCATACCGTGTGTACATAGTACTTAGCCTGGCATGCAGTAAGGACTCAATACATATCAGTCACTATCTGTCACAGCACCATCTTCCAAGGTTGCTATGCGGGCTGACCGATACATGCCCATCAAGGACCAGGCACCCCTGGTACAGGGTTCATGCCCAGTGACTGTCACTTCTCTAAGGTAAAGTCCTAATAATTTGTGACAATGCTAGTAGAAGTAAAGCTTACTCTGCTTTGAAAATTCGTGGGGATTGTGCAAATAAATAACGGGACAACTCTCCAGCAATGCAGAATTAAAACATTTTTAAAAGGAAAAGCAAGGCGCCTGCCTTTGGCTCAGGTCATGACCCAGGGGTTCTGGGATCAAGGCCCACATCCGGCTCCCTGCTCAGTGAGGAGTCTGCTTGTCCCTCTCTCTCTCTGCCGCTCCCCCTGCTTGTGCTCTCTTGCTTGCTGTCTCACTCTGTCTCAAATAAATAAAAATCTTAAAAAAAAAAAAAAAAAAAAGGAAAAGAAAAAGAAAAAGAACAGAACACTGTTTTCTTAGCATTTAGGCCATTACAAATAATTCTGGAGGGGGAAAGGGACAGAGGGAGAGGGAGAGACAGAACCCCAAGCAGGCTTCCTGCCCAGGGCAGAGCCCAATGTGGGGCTTGATCTCACGACCCTAAGAACATGACCTGAGCCAAAATCAAGAGTCAAACTCTCAACAGATTGAGCCACCCGGCACACCACAAACAATTTTTATCTAGGCATTTAAACAAGTTCCCAAAAGACATCTAACTTTTTTTTTTTTTTACAATGACTATTAGGAAATAATTAAAATAAATTCCTTCTTAAATCTTCTGCAATTCAAGCTTTTTATGCAGACACACTACCCCCTAATTACTACAGAATAATGTTTTACTTCATTCTGAACAGTGATCTTATACTGAACAAAAAGTCCTGCCTCTCCTCAGAATCACTATCCACTCAAGAGCCAGAGCAGACGTGGCTGAGCGATCTGCCTCCTCTGGGGCCTTCCTAGAGTGGGCACGTGTCCTCGCTCTCGGGACTTCACTCCCTGCAGGGACAACTGGGCTTATCTGAGACTCGAATAAAAGTCTGCCCCCCAGAGGATTCTAATCTAATTGAGGAAGACAGGTCATGGACACCAAGTCACAAACTGAAACTGCTAACACACAGATACCGGATTTTACAAGCAAGTGGCAAAGGCGGCTGATGAGAGGCAAACTCTGAGCAGATCTTTAGAAGGAAAAGACGCTGAGAAAGGAACACTGCACATGGACGGGGTGGAAGAAGGGAGCTGAGCAGACAGAACAAGCTGGCCACTTTGCTTGTGGTGGGTTTTAACTCCAACATGGTGGGCTTCCCTCTGCAGGTGTGTGGATGTGATTCAGGAGGGAGGGACCCCACCAGAACACTTTAAATGAAGAAAGGCCTTCTTGGGGAAGATCCGTTGTTAATGTCTTTTAAAAAAAATCACTCATCATGCACAGCATATGACCAAAAAAAAAAAAGAAAAAGCCCCAAACAAAAAAAAATAAAAACCTAAATTCTATTCTCTAAGTGTTGTGTTGAGAGTTATAATTTATTAAACCCAAATTTATAGCTAATTTATGGGACAAATATTCCTGTACCAAAGGATCCATCCAGGGGGACTCTTTTAGATGGTAACCTGTCAGTAAGTACCTTTAAATATTTAAACACCAACAACTATATTGTCTGAAGTGAGGGGAAGGACAGCAGGCTACTGCAGGAGATGAAACTAACTGAAATAAAACTACACTACTTTAGAAACTGTGATGTAAGTCAGAAGGGAAAAACCTGGTTTATAAAAATGCCCTCTATACAATAAGTCTACCCAAGAAGGCTAAAGTCTACTTTGGATCATCATTTACTATTAAAATTCGAGCATTTTTTTTCTCATTCACAAATGAATTTCATGGTTGCTGTGCTTCAGAGATGGAGAAATCTTGCTTCCCTGAATGTTTGCTATTTACCTTTCACTTAAGGAACCCAAGACAGTCCTGACCGCAAGTCCTGTCACCCTGGGCCTGAATCACCAGAGTCCTGGAATCACAGCCAGCCTCCTACCCTCACTCCACACACTTACAAGTTCCAGGGAAGTGCCATTCCCAGAGAGCTAGGACAATTTTAAGTTTCTTAAATGTGGTTTGTGTGCTGTCTCCCTCAGCCGTGAAGGGTGGAGATTTTGAAGGCTTTGTAAGACAAAGGTGGGACAGAAGATGTGGTCACAGCAGCAAGCCACCACCAGACCAACCGTAATTCACTCAGTGGCCCCCAAACGGTAACCAGATGGTCTGGAGCCGAGGGAGCAGAAAGGGTTTCACTGTTCTCCACCACCACGGCCAAGGGGTCACAGAGACCCAGGTGAGGGGCTGGAATCAGCTACCCATCCACTGTGCTACTCCGAAGTCCTAGAGGAGGAGGAATGTTGGCAGCTGGGCTAGGATCTAACCTCTGCAGAAACTACCCCAGGCCACCTCAGACTACTTGGGTACCGCGTGAGAACAAGCAAAGGATGCCCAGAGACCAGGTCCTTTGGCCCAAATGTTGGCAGCTGTGGCCAGCAGGCAGCAACACCGAGTCAGGAGGAAGGGGGAAATACTGCTGTCTGAACTTGCGGTGTCACTGTACAGCAAATAAAAGTGGGCTTATATGTGGACTATAGGAACACCCATAACAGGAAGTAAATCCATTAAGTCCAAAAAGTACACCAACATCCAGACAATGGAGTATTATTCAGCACTAGAAAGAAATGAGCTCTCAGGCCACAAAAAGACATGGAGGAACCTTATGTGTATAATACTAAGTGGAAGAAGCCAATCTGAAAAGGCTACAGACTGCGTGGTCCCAACTATTGGACATTCTGGAAAAGGCAAAACTACGGAGACAGTAAAAAGGTCAGCAGCTGCGGGGGGGCGGGGGGGGGGGTTTGGACAGGTGGAGTCCAGGGGGTTTTTAGCACAGGGAACATATTCGGTATAATATAATGATGGATACATATCATGATACATTTGTCCAAACACAGAACTGTACAACACCAAGAGTGAACCCTAAGGTAAACTGATGATGATGTGTCCATGTAGGTTTATCAAGTATAACACACTCTAGTGGGAGTGCCCATAATGGGGAAGGCTGTGCATGTGGGGGCAGGGTGTGTGTGGAAAATCTCTGCACCCTCCCCTCAATTTTACCATGAAATCTGAAACTGCTCTAAAAAAAGTCTTAACGGGGAAAAAACACCATAGAATTATAGATAAATCGCAAGCGACTAAGAGGTACAAAATGATGGAGAACCACAAGCTGAAGAACAACTTGAGTATCCGTCAACTAGACTATATTTAATAAATAATATACCCAAAATACCCAGTGAGGTCTATGCTGGATATAAGTGTGCTGCTTTTCAAGCTTTAAGAATCCACCAACATATAAGCACTGGGGAGGACAATTTGATGATATGATCAAAATTACAAATGCATATTCCTTTTAACCCTTTATTCTCTTTTTAGGTATCTGTTCTATAGATATACACGTAATTGTGCATGGCTATTCATTAAAGCACTGTTTGTGCGAGAACAGGATTGGAAATAACCTAAATGTCCATCCGTGGGGAGCAGATTAAACCAATTATGGCACATCTCATATAATGGATACCAGCAACTATGGAAAGAGATAATGAAGCTCTCCACATGCTGCTATGTACAGGTGTGCAACAGTGTGTACAGTATGCTACCTCCAGGAACAAGAAAAAGCAGGAAGGGGGCAAGGGAGTCAGGAATAGACAGCGTCTGCTTGAAGAGAGGAACGCTGGAGGGGCGCACAATCTACTCACAGTGGTTACCTGGGGGCACTAGGTGGAGGGAGGGAGGGAAGTTTCACTCTACAGCTTTGTGTCCTCCTCTGATTTTTGAACCCTGTGAATGAACGATTCATTTAAGTAATTAAGGAAATTGATTTTTTTTAAAGGCAGCCCCTGGGGTGTCCAGGCCCAGGTGATGAGCTTCATTCAGCCCAGATGATAACACCTGGAACACTTCCAGTTGGGAGTGTTTGCAGTTTGAAGATGAAATCTGAAACGCACTCAGTATTAGTTTAAAATAGTTTTAGTGTTCACATGAGCTTAAAGGGCAGGAAAAGAGAAAGTACGTTAAAGAAGGACTTTTCAAAAACTGCTGTTTTTTTCCTAAAGGAATGTGACAATCTACATACAGCATTGTGCACCCAATGTAACAGCTAAATGTTGCCCACATTGGGGAAGCCGACAGTAGTTCGAAATATTCAAACATTAGGTGCTGTCAGGTCCCGCGGCTTCCAGCAACATCAATGGAGAAACCTCTAACTGAAAGGATTCTGTTAGAATCGGAGCTTGTAACAAAGGAAGTGGTAACGGGACATGCCACTAAAACACAATCACATTTTCCTATCTTTGGATGGCACCTCTAAGTTAATTTACACTTGTTCAAATCATTCTTGCTAGAGGTCTAAAGGTTTTGCAACAGAACTAAACAAAACTCCACTTGTCACCATTTAACAGATTCTTCTAACCACAAAAACGAAGATTTTTGCTTTGGATCTGATTTACTCTTTCACTAGTTTTGTGATGAAAGTATGTTGTTTATGGATTTTTTTAAAGCATTCAGAAGAATATAGAGTGCAAAGCAGAGAGCCCCCCAAAACATCTTCAGTTCCCCGCTGCCAAGAAAAACAATTTCTATAGATTTTCTTCTGGAAATCTAGGTACACACACTTTTTACTACTGAGAAGGACCTAATTATCATGTATGTTTTCCATCCTTTTTAAAGTTAATAACCCTCAGACTTCTCTTCCTTTTGAAGGGAAGATCGCTTCCCTTCCCCAAACCGCCATGGCAGGGGACTCAGCCACTCCTCTTCTGAAGGACCTTTTGGTCACCTTAATTTTTGCAATCTCTAGGTCAATTAACTAAATTAAAGGTCTGGAGTTAATGTGAACATTCTTAGAAGTCCTACCAAACAAGAGACTGATTTTTACTTTATCTGCTTGGTGTACAAGTAGGTTATTAAGCTAGAGATATGTGTATATCATTAATTAATAAGATGAATAATAAAAACCTCTGGTTTTAGGAATCTCTTCCGGAACCTGGGAAACTAGGAACAGAGCATGGTGTGAACTGGTTGCATGACATGTAACATGATGACAGCAGCAAAATCTCCGACAGTCTTCGATTAATTTTTGTGAAACTTCAATTCTTCCTATTTATAGTACAATGAAAACACTGAAATCATTTTGTGTTAAGTACAGCACCAAAATATTTTACCATAAAAAAAAGGATTTTTAGAATGAAGCCTGCTCTTCAAATATTAGTATCTGCAACAGATCTGAGGTATTTCTCAGTCAGGAGCGCACTTCGAGTGGGAGCAACATGCATGCTGGGCCACTCTGGCAGGAAAGAGCAAGGGAGGGCACGCGCTTCCGCCCGCACAGAGTGCTCTAGAAAGGCGCACAAGCAGCAGCTAGCGCGGGCTGCCTCCAGGGAGGAGGTCTGAGGGCTCCAGGGGCAGGAGAAGGAGGCCCTCTCCCAAACCATCTTTCATGCTGGTTGCAAGTTTGAGCCATATGAATACGTTACCCATACTCTCAAAACAATTTTTTAAAAAGTTTTTGAAAGAAAATTATGTTTGTACAAAAAATTCCTAACATCTTAAATAAGTATACAAATTCTGATTCATGGGGCTTTTCCTCTCACAAACAGGGCTTGCGGGGAAGAGAAGGCAGTTGTCAACTCTCCCAGCAGATAGGAACATGGATGGAAAAATACACCCTTGGAAAAGCTGATCTAGATTTCTGGAGAACAAATCACAGTTGCTTCCTCCAATTACCCTGGACGCAATGGGCTTCTAAAATTTTGTATTGTTTTTCAAGCCCTAAAAGGATGATCTGGACTCCCTGGTCTGACACTGGAAGCTCTCCACAACCTTACCTTGCCTTCAGGTGCCCAGACTGAGTCCCCCAATAGTCCTTCTTCTACGAAGTTTTCCTGAACGCGGCCCTGAAGCCTCCATTGCAGCGCTGATCTCAGTATGAGATCAGACAGACACTGGTGGGCCTGCTGGACTGCCTGGCCACACCACCACAGCTCCGTCCAAGAGGACGGAACCAGCACTGGGGTCATCACAGCCTAGCAGTATCCCACACATAGTAAGAACATATCGCCGGTTTGAGTGACATACGCATTTAAATCTTTGTTGATTAAAAGAATGAAGCGGTACAGCTGAGGCTGTATCCAGAGCGGGACCACCCTGGCAGTCTCTGCCTCTCGGAAGCAAGACCACGTGGCCTCTAAATGGTAGCCCAGTGAGTGTAAACCAAAAATAAAACTGGCTTCTGCAAAAGCTGTTACACACTCAGGACTCTCAACTTCCAGACCTTCACGATGGCTATTTACGCCATTCCCTACACCTGCAACAGTACTCTCCACCCCCATCTCCTGTCCATCTGCAGGTCTCCATGGAAATGTCACCTCTCCCAGAAGACCTTCCAAGACCTTTGGAACAGACTCTGTTCTGTGCCCCCACCATGCATGGGACCATCATGCCTGGGGACCTCCCCTCCGAGGTGCTCGGTCACACCAAACTACAGCTGCCTCCCATGAAGGCAGACATTGGACTCATCGCAACATACTAAATGTCCAGGGAGGACCCCACAGCGTAAAATATTGTCTAAATGGGTAAAAAAATCCTACATCTAAAGCAACAAATACTTTTGAAAGTGTCTTTAGAAGAGGGTCCCTTGGAAGGAACTTTTGTCCTCTAGGTCATAAATACCTTAAAACTATGAACAAATGACATAAGTAAATGCACTCAGGGCTGTGCTGTACCACACAGCAGTTACTAGCCAGAGGCCGCTGTTGACATGTACATTAATTAAAATTAAATAAAATCTGAAATTTAGTTCCTGAATTACATTAGTAACAATTTGCTGGTGATTCCAGTACTGGGCGTGCAGATACAGAACCTGGCACCATCACATAAAGTTCTACTGGACTGTGCTCACTCAAATTACCATGAGAACACGGGCATTTCAAACAAAGGAAACGTCCCAATCTACTCTCTTACTGTGGAGAAGAAATCAATTTTTCCTTACACTTCCAAAGACTGAGAAAGTCACCAGTGCAAGCTAAAATAGCCAATTATCTCCCAGTTATTCAAATGATTCTCTTACAGATTTTTAAAGAGAAGTTCAACCCTGGGCAGACTGTGCTCTTCTTCAAACAGAACCCAACCCCATTATTAGTAGAGGCACAACAAAAACAGGATAGAAAATCTATCAGTACTTCATGCCTTTTAGTCATTTTCAGTGAAAGTTGTTTACTAAATAAAATGTAAATAAGATTTAATGTAAAGACACACACAAATTAGGAGGAAAAGCTCTTTGTCCACCATGTCCAGGACAGAATCTGTAGGAGAGAAAACCCCCCACAATACAGCAGAAAGCTCACTCTGCCCCTTTCCAGAGCAGTGGCAGCTGAACCAAGGGAGAAAGTGAACTTCACTGACACTTCTTTCGTCTAATCAACCTGACTAAACTGGACAGTGATCCCAAGGCCATTTCTCCTGTTTTAGAAAAAGCCTGTTTTTATGATTTCTCCATACTTGCTTTTCTTTTTTCACTAAGTCCTAACCTAAATCAACTTCTTGTTGAAAAACAATTTCATTTAGACTTCCATTTTCCAATAAAGAATAGTTTTTAACTTCAAACACAGACTGAGTAAAGTGTGTCAAACTATCACCTGGTTTGCAGGATTCCTGAATCTCGGCTTCTAATTCATTCTTTTGCAAGTTGATAGAGCCAACACTCAACACCAGCCCTGGTGCAGGAAGAGAACTAGGCAGGGGCGGCATCATCCCATTTATTCAGCGAGAAACTCCATGGACGCGGTTCTGGGTCAGACTCTTCACCTACATCATCCCAATCCCCACCAGCCCACAAGGAAGCGCACGACTAATGTTTTCCCAAACAATTAAAGACCAGTAATAGCTGCTGCAACCTGCTACATACCAGTAACCGCAGTAGCCCAATATACAAAGTGAGTCAAAGTGATAACGGAAAAAGGGATTTTTTTCCCCTGGAGAAAAAGATCGCCACCCTCACCTACCCAAGCTCAAATGTAAAGTCACTGGCCCAAGTCACAGAACTGACAAGCTGAGAGCCGAGATTCAGCGTCCACTCCGAGCGGAGGCCAGGGCTCCTTCCTTACTATCGCACTGCCCGCCTCTCAGTATAAAAAGCTCTGACATTTCCTTCAACTCTGAGTCATGGGTAGAAGGTTCTACTTTTAATCAGGTGACAAATACTCAAAATATTTTAATCCAAAGGAACTGGGTCAAGCTTTTATAGCCCGTAATTGTCAAAGCAAACCCTAATTATTTGATAGATTTCTATAGTTCTGAGTGTCGTCATTTGGTTTGTAATCAAATACTGAAATGTCCTTTATTTAAATATTGTACAAGCCTCTCATAACAAGAGTTTTTTTGGGGGGGGGAGGTTTTGTTTGTTTTTGTTTTTTGCTATTTCATTGGTTATTCTAACTACAAAGTTAAAACATGTATAAATGGTACAGTTTTGGTTAAAAAAATCCAAAATATTTGGGTGGTAGTGCAAAGGGAAGCTTTTGAAATAATAAATAGAATCTGCTTCACAGCAGAACTGTACAACCCCATTAAACAGCTTACCACTGTTAAGAACCACCTACTGTCTACGCTGTGGCACAGGTGCATTAGAAAGATGGGCAAATTAAGAGATTTTTAAACAGTAGCAGATAGGACACCTAGAAACAGGAAAGTCAGATATAATCAGGTGAAATTTTTTTCACCATTAGATTTTACTATTCTTAGTGATGGTTCCACTAAACATTCTTTTGATTAATGGAAATGAAACACGGGGGGAAATGTCACATGGGATGATGTCTTTCTAAGGGGAAGGTTTAAAAAGAAAGGAATTCAACTTTTAGACATATAGCTCAGAGATAGCCTTGCTTCCCAAATTTAGAACCAGAAACACCCTGAAGGCAGTTTTTCAACGTCAGCAACAGTCATTCCCTATATTGTCTAAAATCCTGGGGGGAAAAGGAGTTACTTCTGCTTACTTGCGTGCCTTTCCTGCACCCGTTCCCTGCATCTAAAGAGCTCTCCTGCAAATCAGAGTGATTCACGGCTCACCAAGTCCAGGCTGGAGCTGGGCAACCTCTGCCATACTCCCACAGGACCCTGCGTGTGGCTCCATCTCAGCACTCCCGACAGCAGAGCACAGTCCCCACAGAAAGCCGAATGTGCAAAAGCCCCCCAAAAGGCACTGCCACAAGGGATTACATTTCTCCATCAGTGATGTGCTGCAATGTGAGAATTTCCCTGAAAGCGAAGTTTAAGACTGAGCTGGACAAGTGTGGCACCCCTCCCCCAGTTAATGCAGGAGCCGTGGACAACCACACCAGCCCCGAGGAGCCCATCAAGCGTAGGATAGCATTTCTAAGGAGGGATGCACCACTAGGCAAAGGCCTAAGAGTGGGCCAGGGAACAGCAGGCACGTGTGCTGAAAATCAGAGGGGATGGCTGGGAGTTTGAGAGCTTAGGAGACACAGTCTGGGGCAACTAGAAGACTTCAATGCGAGCCAGGGGCCACAGATCATACCCACAGGCCATACACGATGACACTCACGGAGACGAAACTGCTGTGAGTGGCCAGAGTGCCTTTCTTTTCTTTTTCTTTTTTTTTAAAGATTTTATTTATTTATTTGACATAGAGAGACACAGTGAGAGAGGGAACACAAGCAGGGGGAGCAGGAGAGGGAGAAATAGGCTTCCTGCTGAGCAGGGAGCCAGATGCGGGGCTCGATCCCAGGACCCCGGGATCACGACCTGAGCCGAAGGCAGATGCCCAACGACGGAGCCACCCAGGTGCCCTGGCCAGAGTGCTTTTCTTAACACTACAGAAGGCACAGACCCCAGCAGACTTCCCCAGCTGCCGGATGCCTCGTTCTGGCTCAGCAGGGGAGGCACCGGAGTACAGGAGTGCAGAGGGCCCACCGGGCTTGTGGCTACTCTGTATACTGCTACTGCCTAGGTACTTCAGACTAAATTGTTATTATACATGTGGTAAAGAACCAGAATCACCTATTCATTTGCTGCAGGAACAGTCCCTGAAATATGCTTCAAGTTAGTTAATCTTCAGAATACACCGCACCACCTAAGTTTTTGCAATTTTAAAATTTCATGGTCCTGTTCCTATTACAAAGACATATAATTGAAAATGGAGACAAAAATCAATAGTCTTGACTACAGAATTCTTGGCTACATCCCCACTGAGTGTGTTACACCGCAACCGATCTGCCTGCTTGTGGGCCTACGTGGACGCATGCGCATGGTGACTGTCTCTGACAGATCCATCAACAAACAGGTCTCTGGTCCAAGGAGCCGGGACCATGGGGCACATTCACTTTTCAGAAGAGAAAACCAAGGATCCTCAGATCACGAATCCCACATTACATCAGGGTCCCACACTGTGGCCCAAGAGCCAACTCCTGGCTCTGACAAAGTTACTAGTATACTGGCACATAGCTGCGCCCATTTGTGTACTTACGTCCAGGGCTGTTTCCCTGCTGAAATGGCAGTGTTCAGTATGACAGAGACCATACGGCCTGGAAAGCCAAAAATATGATCTTGGGCCCTTTACAGAAAGTCTGTCAACCCTTGTATTACAAAAAAAAGGTTTGGGAATGGTGCAAACCACAGCCCGGCGCCCTGAGGCTCAGAGCCCGGCAGCATGCTAGGGCTCTGGAAAGGCCTTGCAGTAAAGCTCCTCAGCTATTCCCAGCCTCGTGTGAGCACAAAACCTCTTCTAAGAAATGCTTCTTTGCATGTCTTCTAGTTTTCTTGGAACATACTCGGAATGCTGGCTTGAATTAAGATGGAAGAGGTGGTGTCCTGACTAATGGCACCCAAGAACTCAACTGGCTTAACACAAGTTTTGCTCATCTTGAGCAGCTCACAGTAAGATACATTTCATCCTAACCAGGGAAGGCATACTTTGGCAAAATCATTTTTAACTTTTGTTTTCAAATACACTAAGTAAAAACACAAGGTCAGCACTTACATGGCCCCAAGTAATCACGTACTTTGTCTCAGAGCCACAGTGGCACTAGTTACAAGTTGTAAAAACACCGCTACTGGTGTAAGCACAAGCTCCTCCGTCCCTTTACAGGTTGTCTCCATAAGGTTTAAGAGTTACGGGATCGGGGCACCTGGGTGGCTCAGTCGCTTAAGCAACTGCCTTCCGCTCGGGTCGTGATCTCAGGGTCCTGGGATCAAGCCCCGCATCCGGCTCCCTGCTCCGAGGGAAGCCTGCTTCTCACTCTCCCACTCCCCTGCTTGTGTTCCCTCTCTCTCTGTCAAATAAATAAATAAAATCTTAAAAAAAAAAAAAAGAGTTACGGGATCACACTCGAATGTCCCACAGGAGTGATTCTCGGTGGTCTGCTGCACCGAGAGGCACCCCTGGTGGGGCTCGTACTTACCCATCATCATCCCTGAGCAACTTCAACGGAGCCCTAGGTTATCCAAAAGTCCCTACTTTTCCAACACGTGTAAAAGTCAAGTCAAGTCATGAAAAGCCCTGGCCCTAGAAGTCTCTACAAAAGTTTGTTTCCTATTTAGCCAGAACTCAATGAAGAGATGAAAAAACTTGACTGGTCCTCAATTTTCCACTGCCATCCGCAGGAAGGTGAGACCAAACTGCTGCACCAGAACCAGAGGGAAGAGGGAGCCAGTGCCCTGCACCCCCAGTAGGAAGAACACATTCTGCTTCCCCCCAGAGCTGGTAGCAGACTCCGCCCCCCCCAAATTTACTTCACCTGCTGGAGTTACGCTATTGAAACTTGCCAAGTACAGCAAGCTCCTAAATCCATGATTCAAGCAAATTTCCGGTTTATGGACATAGATTTGTAAAACGAATATACACAAATTATTTACTTTAACCACCTAGGTTTGGTTCTGGTTTTGGGCGGATCACCTCTCTCATCTGGTTCCTTACCTAGAATGGGCGGTTAGAGTATCTTCCCACCCTACCTCACAGGATGCTGTGAGGACCAAGCTGAGGGGATGGAGAGAAAAGCACTCTGATAAGTAAAACACGACACATGCATAACAGATCGTCATTTTGTTGTGAAAGGTATTTTGGTTGATAACCATATTTACCCCAAACTTTCTTTAAATATGGTTTCCTATGGCATTTGAAGGGATTCACTTTATAAAGTATATCACAACTGCTTAGAGACACTTAAACAGGATCGGATGAAATAGATCTGTGTTCAGTTTTCAGAAGACAGTCTTTAAAAACTTTAACTAGTCTATCTGTTGTATGTAAATGTGGCTTCAATAAAGCTGACCAAAAAAAAAAAGTCCACCGCTTGCCCGGATATTTACTTCTCCTTCAATGTTAAATCACGAATCCCTGCTGTTGAAAAACACTAATATGCTGTTTTAATCTGAACATATTAAATAAAGAAGTTTCCAAAACACACAATTAACTATATACTGGAAACACACAGTCCTACCTCTTATAATGGATGCCAAGTGAAGGAAGACTGCACTTGTGAGAAAGCCTTCGACGTAAAACAAGAAAATGCTACTTCAACAACAATCTCCTGATGTTAAATCCAGAGCCACTCCAGAGCTGAGGTGTGGGTGAGGTCAGAAGTCCTATTTTTCCTTCTTCCTCTTGCTACCTTCCTTTGGGGCACATTCTCTAGTACCGAATCCCCTCTCCAAACTCTCCTCAGAAGCCTTCCCAGCCTCTCCTGTCTGTCATCAGTGGTAATGACATTTATCACTCAGAGATGCCACCTTACCTCTCTGGCATGCTTTATCCACATCCACACTCCCCCTGCTAGACTGTAAGTGCCCTGTAGGGAGTACCCTGGCCTGTAAGCTCACCAATGGCAGGAGTACTGTTCTCTCCCCCCAATGTGAGCCCCCCCAGACTCACGCAATGGACACCAATGGCTCCCCAGGCCAGTCCCCACAGACACGTACTGCGTGGTGGCAGTCCAAATCATTCTGGTTTCTTAGGCCATCCGGCCTCCTCCTGCTCCTCCTTACATGCACAGAGTTCCCGTCACTCAAAGTTTATCATAGAAACAGAAAACACACCTTGCTCCACCTGGTCCAATTTTCTCCGGGGAGCCTCAAAAACACATCCCCTCACTACAGTGAGGTTGAGTCTCCCTACTTTCCCATCTAACCCAATGCCCTCACTCCTTTGATTGCACGTAATGTGATTCCTTTAATCCTTTATTTGCTTAATATATATCCTTAAGATCTCTGTCTCAGACTAGTAGTTATGGGAGACAAGGTTGTACCTCGTTTAATGTGCTGCATGATGATCCCTTCCTTGGCCCCCACGCTAATAGACTCTTGCCCGATAACGTGACGTGATGAACATGGAACCAAGGGAACTTGACATAAGTATGATCATGAATTTTACTCTTTAAATGATTTAAATTGGAGCTATTAAAAACTTTTTTTGTTCTAGATTTGGAAAAGAGCGAGCCCTCGTGCCTTGGGAGGATCAATGTTGGAAAGGAAGGGGAAAATAAGTGGCCAAGAAGGAAAAATCCTCTCAGATAAACTTTGTTGTGATTTAGCAGTGCATCAAGTAAATATGTGACCATCCAATAACAGAATTACCCAAAAAGGTCATTCTCTGGGCTCCATCTTGGAAAGAGCTGAATGTATATAGTTGGGACAAGCCTTTCTGTTAAGTCTTGTGTTAGTAATTTATCCCTCTATAGAAAACACAATCTGTAATACACTCCTTCAACAACAGCAAAGCTGCAAGGCCATTCAAAAAGTTACCAGTTTCAGAAGACAAGCCTCAAAGCTGAACTTGCCTGGTATGATCTATGTTTCACATGATTAAAGACTTTTCACTCAAACACAGCAAGATTAATGAAGCAAAGGAGATCTGTTCTGCAGTAAAAGGGCATTTAGATCATGGTTGTTTCCACATTTCTTACTTCAGACAAGGTGATTTGACAAAATAAACATCACACTCAATTCTTTACCAATTAAAAAAAAAGCATTAGTGACTTTTATGTCTCATGAGACTTATTTACTACCCCCCCCCAACCATTTAACAAATTTTATTTAAACTAGACAAGAATCTCCTTATGGCGGATTTTTTAAAAGTCGTTTCTCTCACGCCTACATTAATATTCTAGGAATTGTGTTAAAACTGAAGCCACAAAATTCAAGTAGTTTTGTTTCAACAGGAGAAATAAAATTTTTAGACCATTAGTAGAAACATGCCAGTGGCCACAGAAATATTTGCACAAGCTGAACAGCTGTGTCTTCTGCAAATCTGAAGGCATTGCTGCGGCAATATAACTCAATTTGGACCCATTCATTATAAACTGATTTTCAGATGCTGCTACTCCAAGACTGTACTGGAGAAATGCAAGCAGCGCACAAGTTTTTTACTGCAAAGGAGAGCTCTGAAAGAGGAAATACAACTCGATCATAATGCTACCGTGAACCAGCCCAGAAGAGCCCAGAGTTATTAAATGAATAGAAACTAAAATACTTCTTAAGCAACTGATGGGATTACCTCAGGAAATTTTCAGGGATGCTGTTTTCAAAGAATGTTTTATTTAATACCGTGCTAAAAAAAAAAAATTTGGGGGGGGCAAAAAGTGCAATTCCTACATTCCTTAACATAATTTTTTAAAATACATCTACACTGTAAAAGCCACACGAGCTCAAGTGGAGATTGTAGCCCGAAAGGATCTGCTATCTAACTTTCTTTTAAGGTTGTGCCTCTGAAATTAAACACACCACAGCAACTTTGATGACATCTTGCTAACGAAGTTTGGGCTGGTGAAAATGGAACGACTTAAGTGACCAAACAACCAGAGTTTTCAAGATAACTGCTAAGCATTTTCCCAAGGAGCACATTCCAAAGAAACTTCCAACTCGTAACTCCCAGGCTGGATGCTGCTACGAGTGTCTTCTGGTCGCAGCGCTGCGAATTGTGCTACTAGTTCAGAAAACACTTTGGGTCCCCCCGTTCGCCGCACTTTTTCCTTCCCGAACCATGAAACCTACCCTCTGCTGTCATCCCTCCAGGCAGCCCCGCGTGTGCCGACGCACGGCGGCACAGGGAGGCGCGTGGAATCCCCACGAAGACGAGCTCGCTCCACTTTACTTTTCCTCCCCGCAAGTACCGCTCGCTTTCGGCGCGCGGAGGACTCCCCAACTCCGGGGCGGCCGCGAGCGCCCGGGAAGGGCCGGCCCCCACTCGGGGCCCCGGCGCAGTCTGGCCACAAACTTCCCCTCGGCCGGCCCGGCGGGGTCCCGGGAAGTGGCTGCGCGGGCCTGCGCCTCGGGGAGGGTCTCTCCGGCGCTCACCTGGGGGTGGGCCCCCGCCCCCCGCTTGGCCCCCCCCTCACCTGTGCTGTCATTCGCCGAGAAGCCGGGCGAGCTGAGTTTGGCTCGTTTGGGGTTGGGCGGTCCGTCCAGCAAGTTCTCGGCCATTTTCACCTGCTCGCGGAAACAGCCCCGAGCGCGGGCGGCCGGGCCGGCAAGGGCTCTCGGGCGGGGGTCGGCGCCGGCCCCGGCCGGCTGCGAGGGGAGAGGAGCGAGCGCGAGCCGCGAGCCGCGAGCGAGCGCCGAGGGAGAGGGAGGGCGCAGGCCGGGTGGGGGAGGCGGCGGCCAAATCTCAGCCACAGCAACAGCGCCCCGCAGCGCTCACCGCCCGCCCCCGGCCGCCGCCGCCGCCGCCGCCGCCGCCGGCCGCGGCCCCCTCATCCCCTGCCCGCCTCCCGAGCGCGACACTCCGCGGCGGGGGCGCCCCGGCGGCCCGGCCGCCCCCCGGGGCCCGGCTGGCAGCGACGGCGCCCGGCCGGGCGGCTCAGGCAGTCCCCGGGAACATGGTGCCGCCGCCGCGCCGCCGCCTCGCTCCCCCCCCCCCGCGCCCCACTTAATTAATTCGCTCGCGGCCCGACGACCGGGGGGCTCCGGGCTCCGCTCCCCGCCCGCGGCCCGCCGCCGCCGCCGCCGTGAGGAAAAACAATGCGCGAAACGGGGCCGCCGCCGCCGCCGCCGCCGCCGCGGCCCCCCCACCCCCCGTTCCGCCGCCGCCGCCGCCGCCGCTGCCGCCGCCGCCGCCGCCGCCGCCGCCGCGGCTCCGGGAGGCCGAGCCGAGAGGCGAGCGGCGCCGCCGGAGCGGGCGCCGAGGGCCGGGCGGAGCGGGCCGGCCGGGCGGAGCGGGGTGCGCGGGCGGTTGTGGGGCCCGGGACCGGCGGGGCCGAGTAGATCGCGCTCGAAGCCCCGGTCGGGTCCGCGACAAGATGGCGGCTGTTGATTCCTCAATTAAAAAAAAAAGAAAGTTTTTTTTCTTCTCTTTCCAGAGCCTGAACGGGGAGGGGGAGGGGGCGGGGCACGCCGGTGCGTCACCCCCCCGCGGCGTCACCACGCACGGCCCCCGCCCCGCCCCCTCCACCTGCGCCGTCCGCGGCGGAAAGAGCCGAGCGCGCTCGGGCGGAAGGGGCCGAAGGCGCGGCCGGCGTGCGTGGGGCGGCGGGGCTTCTCGGGCGGCGGAGCGGCCGCGCCAGTGGGACGCCCGGCTCCCGGCGCGGCAGCCACTTTTGTTCTGCTTGCGGCTGGGCGGCGAGGGTCGGGGTTGCGGCCTGGCGGCTAGCCGGGCCCCCAGGCGTGGAGTTGGCGCCGGCCGGGCCCGCCCGTCCCGCTGGGCGACTCTGCCGGGTCCCGGCTCCTCACGTCCTTGCCCGCGATTCTCCCCCAGTGACCAGGCCTGGCCACCTCCCCTTGCCGGATGCCAGCGATGCGTCGAGTCCCCTACAGGTTACAGACTGCCCGCGAGTGTGTGCAGATGGGGAAACTGAGGCAGGAAGTGGCAGGGTCGGGACTCGAATCCCCCACCCCCAAGTGAAGTGAAGGGGTCGCAAGACTCCTGAGCCCCTGTTCCCCAGCGCGATGCAACGGGGCTGCCAGTTGTGACCCCTTCACCTGCACGCGAGGTGGTGGGGCGCACAGCCTGCACCCAGGCCTGGAAGGCCCCTTATATCAGGGCTTCGGGCCTGGACGTCTCTGGAGCGCCCCCGCCCCGACATCCACCTGGCACCCCGTGGGGGCTCCAGGCAGCTGTGCGGCCCCCGGGGAGACCGGCTCGAGGGGGCCACTCCCTGTGGGACAGTTCCACAGAACGCTAAGGTGTTCACGTCTCAGTGCCTTATCTGCTCCTCAAAACTTGCCCGCGCCTCATCCTGAAGTCCTCATCTGAAAGGTGTCACCAGCGGCCCGGTTTCCTAAGCCAGAAACCTGTGAGTCAGTGCAGACTCCTCCCTCTCTGTCCACGCAGCCAGTCTCCCCACGTCCTTTACCTGTTCATCCCCGTCCCACTGCCCCAGGTCGTCCTGCATCGCCTGGTGGCTCCGGTGGCCGCTTCCCACCTGGGTCCCTCGAGCTCCGCATTTCAACCCACGCAGCACCAGCGTTAACTTCCTGGAAAAAACAAATAGCTCCTGCATAGAGGAGGGGGGAAAGGAGTGTATGTATATAGTCTGTAAAACAGAACAATTAAATAATATATACGTATGGTATGCAGTGTATATACCAAAAGAATGATTGTCCTCAAGCGTCAAGACCGAGTAATCTTTCTACTTTTTTCTGTTTGTGTTGTTTGAAATCTTGAGCTGCCCCCATATCTGCCTCTTCCACTTCTCATCCCTCTCTCTACCATCACTGCTTCATACCCACCTGGCCACTAGGAAGTTCGCATCATTCAGGCCTTTTTATACTTTGGCAAATGCTGTTCCCCATGCTGAGACTCTCCCAAGACCCTCTTCTAATGTCACCTCCCCTAGGAAGCCCGCCTAGCCCACTTGTGGGCTCCCACAGCATTTCTGGGCACACTGTCATTTTTTTCCCCATCCATTCATGTTTGTATTTCCATCAGACATCCCTTGAGACTCTCCTGAGGGCATTGCCACTGTGCTAATCTCTTGGGCAAAGAATACAGAAGTCCTTATATATTCAAGGAGGCCAAATAGCAAGCCCTGGAAATCATAAACAGGTATTCAAGAAGTCAATTTGCACAGTAAGGCAGGAAGTGTATCAAGTCATAGGGTAACAGAGGGCTGGCAGCATCCTGTATCTGAATGTACCACGGGTGTCCCTCTTAGCACAAGCCTGTGGGCCCCTTGGGGGCAAGGGCCATGTCTTAGTCATAGCACAGTGCCCTGCAAGAAGTAGGTTTGTAAAATGTGATGAATGAATCAGTGAGTGAACAAATGAATGAAAGAATGCTGTCTGGTTCCTCTGAGTCCCACAGGTCTCCAGGACACTGAAAAGAATGGGCTTAGCCTGAAACAGTCCAGGCCACTCCTCCACAGAGGGCACAATGTGTCAGGTCACCAGGAGGCCTCAGCCAGGGCCTGCCTTGGGTCAGTAGGGACACCACCCAGCCCTCTGAGTCCCTCAGTAAATGGTTTACACAGTAGTGGGCACATGAGCTTGCACCATCTTCTCACCAGTGAGCAGCGATGTCATGGGTCATGCCCTACTTTACAGAGAGGGAAATTGAGGGGACCAAGTCCAGATGACCCAGAGGTAAATGATCTGGACATGTCAGGGCCAGGCCTGAAACACAAGTCTTCAAACGGCATGCCCCATGCTCTTCCTGCCTCACCCTGCTCTACCCTAAAACCTACCTTTTCTCTCTCACTTGAAACATTTTGATCAGTTCCTCTGGTATTTCCTGATATCCGCTTTTTCTTTCCTTTCTATTTCTTCTCCACTTGGTCTGACTCTTGTCAAAGAACACTGTGCTCAGACATTTGATGGGGAATAACAAGGAAGGAAGTATGGTTCCTGCCTGCACACTCTTAGCTGGGATCAAGGTCAATACAGACGAAAGGGACACAACACCGTTAAGTGCCCTCTGTATGCCAGGGTGCTCTGCCCCACACTGCCCTTGGGTCAGCACCTCCTGGAAGGGTATACCCTTGTCCTCATTTTATAGGCAAGGAAATAAGGCCCAGAGGAGGGCCAGTCACCCAGCCATGAAGGGGCTCAACCAAAAGCTGCCTGCTCTTTCCACAAACCTCACCCTCCCCAGTTTCATAGGCCATATGACCAAGGAATCCCTGTTTACAGAATGAGTAAGGGCAGAGAACAAGGTTGGCCAGAACAGGGGCAAGGAAGATTTTCTGAGAAAAGTCCATTTGAATATCAACTGATGAATGGATCAACATAATGTGTTATGCCACACAATGGCATATCATTCAGCCACAAAAGGAAAAAAATACAGATACACACTATGGCACGGGATGTACCTTGAAGACGTTATGCTCAGAGAAAGAAGACAGTCAGCAAAGACCATGTATTGTCTGATTCCATTTGTATGAAGTGTCCAGAACAAGGCAAATCCAGAGACAGGAAGTAGATCAGTGGTTGCTGGAGAGAGGGAGGAGTTGGTGAATGGCAGCCAAAGGTTATGGGGTTTCTGTTTGGTGTGATGAAAATGTTTTAAAATTATGGTGATGATGGTTGCACAACTCTGAACATACTAAACACCATGAAAATCTGCATTCTGAAGGGGTGAATTGTATGGTCTGTGGATTGTATGCCAATAAAGCTGGCTTTTATTTATTTATTTATTTATATTTTATTTTACTTTTTTTATTTGACAGAGAGAGAGACAGCGAGAGAGGGAACACAAGCAGGGGGAGTGGGAGAGGGAGAATCAGGCTCCCCACCGAGCAGGGAGCCCAATGCGGGGCTCAATCCCAGGACCCTGGGATCATGACCTGAGCTGAAGGCAGACACCCAACCGACTGAGCCACCCAGGCACCCCAATAAAACTGGCTTTTAACATGTCGGTTTGGAAAGAGGGAAGACAAACCAGGAATGACGGAGGGAGATAGGCCCTCCCAGCAGAAGGAAACAAGTCGAGGGTCCAGTTAGGCAAGCACAAAGGGGTTTGCTTTGTGGTGCCAAGAGGAAGGGTCAGGGATGGGGGCGGATTCGATGTGATTGGCATTTCCTACCTGGGGGGCTGAGGGATGAACCAGCAGG